CGAAGGTGACCCTCATGCCCCACATCTGGGGAAAAGCAACTTTCTAGGCTCTGAGGGTGGCCCCCAGGGATTGCTTCTGGTCCTGTATGTAATTGAGCAAAGCCCCTTGCCAGGGCTCCTGTGGACCTTTCCAGCTCTGTTCCTGCCTGCTGCACTTGTGCTTCCAAGGCACCACACGTGCCCTGGCTCTCTCTGGCCCATTGTAAACTTGGAGTGGGAGTGAGCTCTGCTCTTCCCTTGGCTCCATTTCTCCAGGGGTTCTTGCTTGTGCAAAACAGCCTGTGCTTGGAAGAGTTCCAGGCTTGCAGCCCCATGAGGAGCTGCTACTTGTCAGCACTTTATGTGGGCAACACAAGCACCAGGCAGGCACAGGAGTGCTTTTCAGTAATCACTACTCAACAACCACAGCAGAGAAAGTTTTGAAAGGCAAAAAGTGTGGTTCATATGTTATCAAGGTGTGTCATAATTTGGAAAATACCAAGTATTACTCCTTTTCTGTGTGACTGTAACCAATCCTTATTCTTCTTGTTCAGGAAAAAGGGACTTATTCACCTGTATTCATAAACCCAAATTGTTTCAACTTTTACATCCAAAGCAATACATGACATTGTTATTGTTCTTCCTCCTCAAATGCTAAAAATCAAAACAATTTTAAAACAGAGAAAAATAAAGTAGGAATGCTTGGGGGTTGGATTTTTCAAATGCCAAAATACAAATTGATACATAAAAAACACCTTACCAAACAGAGAAAATCACATTCTTAAAACTTCTGAGGTTTTTGGTTTTTTTCCCTAGAAAGAGTCTTCTTTGTGCATCAGTCAGTTATCTACTTTCCTGTGTCTGGTAAAGGTTAATACTTTTTAGATAATTTTCAGTGGTTTTTTTTCAATATCAATTACATATTTTCAAGACTGTTGTATTATCTGTGGCTTGACCCAATGTCTGACTTGAAGGAAACTGGGTTCACCTGGCACCACTTCTTTTGGCTCCAGGCAGTTCCATTGTTTGGGTTATTCTATATGGCAGGCTCCAGGAAGGATGTGTGGTCAAATGAAATATGTCCTGTGACGGAAATATGCCCTGTGATGTTTATAGACCATCTTGTTCACTCTCTCCAGAGAGAGCCTGGGTGAAGGACACTCACCAGGAAGATAAACAGCCCATATTTCAGAATATTCCAAGAAACTCTATGGGCAAACTTGCCTGGAAAGGTTTAGTTCATAGCAACTGTGTTGGATACAAACTGTGCCATTAACTCCTTGCCACAAAAGATGCATTAGTGAGAGAGAAATCTGTTTTCCTCACACAGTGCCACCACTGTGCAGGGTGCAGGGGATTTGCAAAATTCTGTCTTTGACTTTGCCAGACTTCAAGAGATGGTTTTCAAGCTAAATTGGAGATTGAATTAACCTGCTCCTGGCTACACCTGCACATTGTGATAATGCTTGTGAACATCTGCCCTGAAAGAGAGACAGAAACATAAATTAAAACTCTGTTTCCAGTTACATCCTTTCTATTGGAAGCAGCTTTTTAGCCATTCCCACACATAACCTTCACATCCTTGTTAAATTTTGGGATGCACAATAGTCAAGATGACCCTGCACCAGTGCTAAATACAGCAGGGCAATCACCCCTTTTGACCAGCTGGTTGTGGTGTATTTGGTGCATCCCGAGATGGGTTTGCCACTGCTGGCTTGTATTGAGCCTGCTGTCAGCCTGCAGCCCCAGACCCTTTCCTGTGGGGTTGCTCTCCAGCCCAATTCATACATGTGGAAAGTATTTCTTCATGCCAGCATTTGTTCTTGTTGTTTCATGCCACTGGTGATGGCTCAGTGCTCCAGTCTATCCAGATCCCGCTTCATGGCCTCTTATCACTTAAGAGTCAACAGCACATTCCAGTGTAGCATCATCAGCAAACTTCCAACTCCTGTCTTCAGATAATTGGTAAATATATTTAACAGAACTGTCCCTAGAACTGAGCCCTGAGGAACAATGCTAGTGACTGACCTCCAGCAGGATTACCTACAACCTTTTGAGCCCTGCTCTTTACTCAGTTCTTCACCCACTGAACCACGTACCTGCTCACTTTGCAGTCAGATGGCTTGTCTAGAAAAATGTGAGGGATAGAATCAAAAGCCTTAATAAAATGAAATCTAGAAAATCTTCCTCCACTGCCTTCCCTTCATCCTATAGGTGGGTGACCTTATGCTAGAAAAATATTAAATAAGTTCTACAGGACTTTCCTTTGTGAACCCATGTTATCTGTGCCTGATGATTGCCTTGTCCTCTAAATGCCTATCAGTAGCATGCAGTATTATGTTCTCTCTAATTTTCCCTCTAAAGGCCTATCAGTAGCACGCAGTATTATGTTCTCTCTAATTTTCCCAGGCACTGAGGCTGGGCTAACAGGTCTGTAGTTTCCAAGGTTTCCCTTGCAAACTGGAATAACACTGTCTTCCTTCCAGTCAGCAGGAACCTCTACTGCATAAAACCACCAGGTTCCAGCAACATACTTGCTGAAGTAGCATAATTGGCCAACTGCACTACAAAAAGGGTGCTTGAGAACACCTAAAAATTCTTGTTCAATTGTAATGTCACTGTCCTTGTAATATGGCCTTCTGTGAAGAACATCTGGACAACTGCATCATCTAATCTTTTAGAAAGCTGAAAGCCTAAACTTTCTGTGAGTTTAGGCAAGTATGGTGTCAAGGTCAGTGGGAGATACACTCAGAGAGTCCACTTTTTATTTTGCTGACAGACAGTGAAAGATTAGTCTCGCCCTTTACACAGCGTCAGATAACAGAAATAAAGTATTCAGCTTCAGATCAGACTTTCAGCCACATTATTCTGGCAAGTATGACAGGAAAGCAGACATCCCAGTAAACAATTCAAGGTTGATATTGCAATGTTCAGTAGCAGGGGCTTTAACAGCTCTGTAATCTGCAGCTGGGCATGAAGGAGCATCGTGACAGAGTCTATCAAATATCTTTGGTTTCAGGTCCAGTATGACAATGATTTGGGCTCCATATTTGTTTATTGTTCATTGCATTTTTTTAATATCTCTTGTGACATTTCTTAATGAAAGACTGGAAAACTCTAAGAAGGAAAATTAGTGTCTGGAATTTATCAGCTCTCGGAAGAGCATGGGCCAGTTCAGTCTATGGCTCCTAGTATTTTATTTCAAGTTATCTGCAGTAGCTGCAGGGCTCAGCTGCCACTTATTGAAGTTTAAGCTTATACTTTTCTGCCAAAAGTCTTTCCTCCTCTATCCGCCCTATGGCTGGCCTTTGCACCAAGCTCTCTCACACCACTTTATTTTTCCAGTTACTTCTATTTTTTGAACTTACTGACATATTATAAATATTTCCTCTTTGGTACTAAGAAGCTTGATCCCTTTTCAGGTGGCTTGAGAACGCTTCAGCCCTCACTCTTAATGGTATATTATATTCAGTTGTATGTCATGCATTTATGTATAATAGAAGGATCACATATATAATTGCCAAGTCATAAAAACACTGGTTACTGTTGCTGTGGTTATTTACTCTTAATTTTACATGCAATGGTTAGAACACCATATTTGAAAGTTTCCATCGCTTCTATAATCATTATATTAAGCTTTTTCAGTCTTATTCATCTTCTCCTGTTCCTCTACCTCAAACTCTTTGTTTCAGTCTAACATTAAAAAGGGTTGATGTCTGCTCATGAAACTCATTGCTATTTTGATGTTCCTTTGTGGCAAACCCTGACAAAGTTGTCTGAGAGTGCTCTTTACACTGTATAAACCCTTAAAATACATTTATTACCAAAAGCTTTTCATTTGAACTCCTGCTATCCTGGTAGGGGTTTTTCTAAGTTAAACATGGCCTCTCCAAGAAAGAAGCTTTTCCAGATGGCGTGAGCTCATTTTTGTTCTGCATTTAGCTTTAGTGTTGTTTCCACAGGATCTAAAGATGGGCTGAAGTTAAAAAGCAAGTGGAAGGCTAAATTTCCAGGGAAATGGAAAAGAGTGTTTTCATGAGATCTATAAATCTTCTCGATATATTCTAAAATTACAGATAGCTGCCTTGGCCAGATTTGATGCTAGCAGTCAAGAAACTAAGCACTAATTTTACATTTTTAAACTGTCTTAGAATGGGTTTACATTTCAGTTGGAATCTAGGTGACTCATAGCAATCAGGAGGCTCAGAAGAACTTGCTCCAGATCTTTGTGCAGTGCAAAACTGTGTCAGTCCACAGCATCCAGCGGAGCTACTCTGGCTGGCACCGGGCAAGTCACTGGCTCTTGCATACTACTTTCTGTCTCTAAATCCAGGAAAGCAACCCTCCTGGAGCTGGGCAGCTCCAAGGGCCGTATCAGAGAGCTCCATGGATCTGCCTGGCTCAGTCTTGTCTCCATTTCCACTGACCTCAGCAGCAGAGTGATGGTGAACTGCCTCTGAAACAAAATGTGAATCTGTCAGCTTTGCTGGTCTGTCCATGCAAGTACCCCCAGAGACATGTGACATGATATGGGGGAAGTGACCTCACAGATCTGAGCGCTGACACTGGCTCCTCTCTGGCATGATGAAGGCAGGATATTTTCACGTAAGCGAGGAATGAGCACGCCCTTGAATTTACTGTCATTTCCTTGTCACCCTGCAAGGCGCAGCCGACGCCAGCGCTGTCTGCAGTTGCATAAACACACACCGTCAAAGACCTGGAAGTCAGTCACACGCTGGCAGAACACACAGGCAGCGCTCCTGCTCTTGTAATTAATGAACTCCTGGCAGGAGGCTGCTGGGATCTCAGCAGCCCCCAAAGAGCACTGCCAGACTGCTCAGGGGTGGCACTCACTGAGATTAAAGACTTGGCTGCAGTGAAAAAGAAAGCGGAAGCAAACAGCAGCCTTCTGCCAGTAAGTGCATTTCTTAAGGCCGAGGCTCAGTGTTGGTGCTCAGCACAAATTGGATTTTCTTTATGCATGCTCTGCTCAGTGCTTGTCAGCATCGCTCACGGGCTCTGTGATGTTGCCTGGGTGTCCTGTTTGGGGCACAGGGCCCCTGGGTCAAACCTCAGTGCAGCACAAAAGGTCATACTGGCATGATGAACAGAAAAGCTTTGGCCTCCCAAGCTGTCATGCATGTACAGGCATGTGTGCAACTCCAAGAGATCCCTGCTTGAGGTTTCCATACAGTGTAGATGGTGGCATCCTCTGCTAATAATCTGGATAGACAGTTCCATTTGGATGAAATTCCTTGAGAGGACTCAAATTTAGGCCACACAGAATTTTTGCAAGGATTCCAAGAGGGAAATGTGAACACAGCTAGGCAAAACTGAGATAATCTACTCCAAAATTTGGAGTGTAATGCTGTGCTAACTCTAGGACATTATGACACCAAGTTCCTCATCTGTTCAAGGCAAATGAGCTCAAAACAAGACCCAAACCCTCACTGGAGGACTACAAAAGGGCATTTTCAAAGTCAAGCCCACAGGTTAACCCAAGGCCATCAAGGTAACTCCTTATCAAGCTTTACCTTCCCAGGCAACGACTGTCCATTTTTTTGCCATTGTAGCACCCAACGTCCCACATCTCAGTCTGACATGCTCAGCACCAGACTGCATGGGGTGAGCAGGAAAATGTCCCACTGTGATGCCTTGCCTTTGTGAAAGCTGCTGGAACACAGACAAGGTACAGTGGACTTTGTGGAATGTTTTGTTCAAATGAGAATTTCTTTGGCATAAACTCAATGAGTCTTGCTCCTAACCCTTACTTCTTCAGAGCCAGCACAGCTTTGGCCTGCTTTATGCCCCAACATGTAGGGCAACATGTAGGGGGCCCATTTCTAACATGTAAGTTTTGATTGATACTCATTACCCCTAATAACCTTCAATTTTACAGCTCTGGAGATTCCTTACTACTCATTTTAAAGTCACAGTAAACATTAAGAAACCAAATCGCCTTGCTATTTATGCTTGAATTTATTTATAGTGTTAGAAGTTATGGTTAATCTCGTATTTTCTGACCTTCTTTTCTTATATTTTGAATTTAGGAAGAAACTTTGGACAGTAGTGAATCCTATTTTGAAGTGAAAAATGGACATATGAAAGAGGGCAAAGTGGCACTAGGTAATGAACATATATAACCAAGCAGAAATTTTTTTTTAAATTTAATTTTGAAAGTAATCCACACATTGAAAAATAACCTATAGACCGATAACATTTTGTTCTGTCTTTTGGAGATAACATACACAAGCAAACAGGCATTTAGGTCAAAGACTTAGTGGCTCATTTCATATCTCTCTAATGGAAATAAACAAAATATTTCAGTTTATCAAGAATTTTTATGCTCAGTATCTGTAAAACAAAAAAAACCCAAAACCTAGAGATTCAGGTTTCCAAAGTTTTGTTTTTATTGCAAGTATGATTGCCTTATACTGCAAATTTTAACAAAAGTTGCTATGAATTTTCCTGTAGATAGAAATGTCCTGAAGTGATTAATTTCCTAGATTTTTTTTTATCCTCCTTTATCACATAACTGATTTCTTGGAGTATTTTTATTGTTATCAACTGATCTGAAATTCAGACCTGTAGGTCTCTAGCTGTGCTTTTCATTTACTTAAATATGGATCAAATACTCCTACAGCAGATGATAAAATGGGACATCTATTACTTTGATGAGAAAACAAATATTTTGTCTTCTACCAAAATCTGAGGATGCAAATAACATGTTTTGCTAATCTCTGCAGTGTATCATCTTTAAATAAGAGGGGAAAAATACTTCTGTTTGTTCAAACCACTTTATGAAATTGAAATCTTGTCAATGTACAAGTATGTATCTTAATTTACAGGAAAAAAATCCTTTTTAAAAACTTAAATGAAACAAACTCAGCTTTCACAATTCAGTTTCTTAAATTCACATTTAAGCACTTTAAAGATATTATCAAAGACTGGTTTATTAAATGTTCGATCCCTGAAAAAAAACCAAAAAAAATTAATATTTCAATTACCTGTAAATTCTCTTCATAACTTCTGGCATTCACCTTCAAAAATTAGAGTAAAGACTTTGATAACATTAATCAAAAGACATAAAGTGCTTTCTACAGACAATCTGGGGAGATCCAGCTTCAATGCTATGTATGCATTCTATATGTGAAAGTTACTTTAGAGTATATTTTGGACCCTTTAAACTTCAGTTTTGTTAGTCTTCAGAAATGTATACAGATAATACTGAAAAAAAAAATCAGTGAGTTCTAATTGCAGATATAAACAATTACAAAACCATGTTAAATTATACACTTACTAAACTTATTAATAGATTCAGAGAATTTTTTAGTCTGGAAAAACCTTTCAGATTATTGCATCCAGCCATTAGCATACCTCTGTCAGTGGTTCTGTCTACTATAATATACGTTGAAAATGAAATTTTCAAATTTTTATTGTGTCTTATAAACCTTTATTTCACACTACAATACCATATATTTTAATTTACAAGATGCTGAAAAGAGCTGCAAAGCTTAAAAAATGGAGAAAGGTCAAATTAGAGTTGCCTTAAAATGAAGAAACTCAACTTGAAGTTCATGTTCTGTACACTGAGCATTGCCTCACTGAAGTGAAGACTGTAGGATAAATCAAAGAAAGGGGAAGCTGAAGCTAAGGAAATGAGGAACAAAAAAAGAAAGAAAACATAGGGGCGCCTGAAAGCAACACCTTATGCACTGCAGATTCCAGTTTATATCTCCTTGAAATGCTTAGTTCCAAAAGCACATTATCTCACAGTGCTGTTAGAGCCTTAGCAAGCGATGTTTTGACTCCCAAATATGAGTTATGTCTCTTTCACACTGAAACTTGCTGCTAGTTAAAGGTGATGGAAGGTTTATCTGCCTAAATAATGATCCCCATTTGTTCTACTGCAGCTAGGGTATGTGCTGAAACCTAATGAAAGCATTGGAATGGTGCCCATTGATTTTGAGAGATTTGGATCTGGTCCTGAAGTGCTAAAGAGAAAAAAGCTATTCCTCCTCTCCTTTCCCAATTCTAAAATAAATTGTGATCGCATGGTCATGCTGGAACACAGATATTGTGGTAACAGAATAACAGATAACATGCTTCAGTGCTTTTGGAGTGTGTATCATACCCTAACAAACACAGACACACAGAGCACAGTTCTTGCTCACTTGAATGATTTAATTATTCCTGTGTCTCTCATAGCTGACTCATGGTCCTCCTGAATTAGGGTAAGGGTAGATTTAGATCACATATTAGGAAGAAATTCTTTACTGTGGGGGTGGTGGGACACAAACCTGTTGCCAGAGAACCTGGGGACACCCCGTCACTGGGAGTGTTCAAGGCCAGGTTGGATGGAACTTTGAGTAACCTGGTCTAATGGAAGGTGTTCCTGCCCAAGGTAGGGGGGTTGGAATGAGGTGATCTTTAATGTCCCCTCCAATGTAAAATCATTCTATGATTCTGTGATTGCTTGGCATCAGCATCCTACTGCATCTCTCCCTGACAGTTTGATCCCCTGAGGGTGGCCTGAGGGGTGAAGAGAGTCTGTGGCAGCCCTGTTTAGCAACATTCCACTGACAACATGGCAGAAATAGTCTTTACCACAGATGGATCTGTGTTGCTGTTTGCAATTTGTCTGAAACAAATGACTTCATAGAGGTAAAACTCTTGAACCTCTTTTCCATCCCCTGGTCAGTGCAGGTGATAGACTGGGTTGCACGCACACTGCACAGAGACAAAGGAAAATTTTGTCTGGGTGCTCAGAACCTTTTTTAATCTTACCCACACTATAATAACTTGTCCCTGTCAGACAGCAGTGCAGGGGCTGGACAGGCTTCCTGCATTGTGCTCCCAGTGTCTCCTGGCTCGGGAAGTGACAACATCTTGAACTAATTTTTTTTAAATGGGGGTTGATTTTAAGCAAGATATTTTCCAAACTGGTTTTTTAAGTGTAAGTCTAATTATTTTTTTTCTTCTTTTTTCCCTTTTTTTTTTTTTTAACCACTTGGCAGAGAAAGGAATTGCATGCAGGACCTTGAATGAGGGACACTCAGGGCAGCCAAAGACATCAGCCACTTATGCCAGCCACCTCTGGAAGGCAGGAGCATCGCAAAAGACTGGATGTATGCTCCTCCATCAGCGAGCCCTCAGCCACAGACAGGATCAGTAACCACAACCCAATCTGCTGCTCTTTCCACAGCAGACACTTTTCCACATGGTCAGGTACGACACTTCTGGGACAAATTTGGGGTTATTTATCACCAGCGGTGAGGGCGTGGGAGACAAGTTTCATCCAAATAAAGGACCACCATATGTTGGGACTTCAGTAGAAAGGTCTTGTGTTTACTGTCCTGCACTTGCAGGGAGAGATTTTCACTGTATTTTCTCCTCCTGGATGTTAAGAGTCATTTGAAATGATGTGAAATAATGAGTAGCCAAAGTTTCGTCCCCCCCCCCCCCCCCCCCCTTTCCCCTCCCCCCCCCCCCACCGCCTTCTCACCTTTGAGTCTCCGCTTGTGGAGCTTCCTTGGCACATCATGAATCTGCACAACAGGGAAGAGGACTTGGCCTTCCCCAGCTGCTTCAGGCTTGTTGGCTTACCTTGCGTGGAAAATCCAGGAAGCGCCAAATGTCATCCACTGAGGCTGTTTCGCCAGCCCCAAACATCCAAATTTCAAGAAGAATGCTCCCAAATATAATTAGAGTGGGTTAAAGTCCCTAAAATTACAGTGCTTTAGATTGTCAGTGAATGTACAATTGTTTCTTTGCAACTCATGGTCAGACACTCCTGCATGCCAAAGAAGACAAGTTTCCCAAAGGGATTTTCCTTTCCTTAGGCTTGCCTAGGGAAGTGGGATGGTGAAGGTGCTCCAAAACACCCCATGATGGTCCACACCAGTGGGACAAGACAAGGTCCCATGACAGCTCAGGGCTATCACCTACTGCAGCGCTTGGGAGGGTGAACCCAGATTCTTCACAAAGGCTCAAGCTTTTCTCACTTTGTGAAATTTTCCACCTCCTTCACAGAGAGGGTTCTCTGGCTTTAGCCTGCTTTCCGTGAGGCGGGATGGGAAAGCTTCACAGCAGCAGGACATTTTATTGCTGCCTTTTGTATTTTGCCCAGACAGCATTCCTCTGACTGTGTGCCCACGGTCAATGAGTGTAGATTTCTCTTTGGTGCTTTTGGTGCTTTTATCTTCCTGAAAAGCCAGCTCTTAAGAGTATGACTGGCAGGTAGCTAATATTTAGGCTAATATTTAATCCAGGACTCAGTGCCAAGGACTGATCTCTACACAGAGAGATCAGATCTGGATCTTGCCCTGCAGCAGAAGAGACTTTGCCACGTGGCTCCCTTGAGCAAAGTGAGCAGCTGGGCGTAGGTCCTGACACCAAGCTAATCTCTCTGGCTGTCTTCCTGAAGCAAGGGGGAGCTTTTAACCTAGATTTGGTGTTTTATCCAAGGATTAGGAAACTCATAAGAGGTATAGCCCAGAGAGCATCTTGACTGTGGCCAGCTTTCTAGTTCCAGTAAAGTTACAGCCCCCTTTTCCACATTAGTCTTATGTCTGTCTCATGTCTTGACTTCTTAGAATAGGTAAAACTAGGCTGTAGTTAGTCTTAGCACCTCCACCTCTCCAACAGCTAAGCTAGAAAATGGTTGTTTTAAGCAACATAAATTTAGTTTCAGGCTGTAAATTACATATTTTTCATCATATAGGTTGCTTTACACTGAGAGTTTTCCTCCAGGTCTGCACAAAGGAATTAGTCTGTGAAGGTCCAGGCTTTTTAGGAGTGGGTAAATTAGGAAACTAGGGAAGGGAAGTTTACCATAAACATCCTTTCATTACAGCTGAGGTCCCAGGCTCAGGTTTCCTACAGTAAAATGTTAACTACAATAACAAAACAATAAACCTTAGATTGAGCTAAGAATTGTATTTAATGTTTAGAGATCATGCATAATAATCAAATGGTACTATACCAAAATTTTGTCTGAGGGACCCTTGTGCCATTGCACCCCAACCCTTGGTTTAAACTTCAGAACAAAGTGGACAAAAGGAGCCCAACCATAAATTTTGTATTAAGAAAGAGGGGAGAAGTTTTTCAGAGGGGCCAAGAAGCAGCTAGTTCAGCAGCAGGTGGCAGGGCTTTGCTGCATGAGTGTTACTTATGAAAGAAGCAGGATAAGGAGTGTGTTTCAGTGCCTTAGCTAGTCATTTCACAGAAGAGGTTTTCAAAAATCATTGAAGTACATTAGACCATCTGTTACCAAGGCTGCCACTGAATTTGATCAAAATCCCCAGAAATCTATTGGGAAACCTTCTCATTGCTACAGAAGCAGACAGGAGCACAGTCTTACACTTTCAATTTTGCCATTAGGAAAATCCATTAAAGGATTCAGATGCCTGGCATGGGGTCTGGTAGCCTCCAGTCCTGCAAAAATATTTAACAATTTAATGCACTTTTCAACATTATGAAGTTGTAGTGATTAGCAAATACATAAGTTTTGACAGGACTTGATTCTTCACCAAGTTCTGACCCTGCCACACAAAGTAACTCAATCCTGCTCCACACTGGTGTAAAATGCTATGGAAATGCAAAGTGCTGACCAAGAGGTGAGGGTTGCAGTGTCTGGGCTATGGATGGAGAGGACATGTCCCAAGAGCAATAAACCCCACTCCTGCCTGTCTTTCCTGCTCCCAGCAGCAGCATCTGCCTTTATGTTTTGGGATTTTGCCTGTGTAAAATTGATCTGTGTTGATGCAAAAAGAAAATAATTGAGAATCTAGTCATATGACACCAGTACCTAGAAGACAGTTAAGCATCAAAAAATCTTAATTTCAGGTAGCCTTTTGACTTCAAAGCACATTGCAAATGGCTGAATGAGATGGAGCTAAGACTGTTATGCTCTATGGTAAGATGCAGGACTATACTTTAATGACTTGGAAATATTGGGATCAGGCTTAGCAGTGCAAATATGCCAAGCAAAGAGGTGAAACTCAGCACACAGATACCTAGAGGTACCAGTAAGGGAAAGTCAACCCTGGGCGCATCACAGGTATCTCCTATAGATGTGTTAATTGTGGGAGTGAGGGGACTGCAGGGGGCTTGGGGCAGACCCAAGGAAGGACTTTGCCCTTGCAAAGGATGACCCAGTGCCCCTGTAAGGTCTCCAGCCTGAAAGGGTGGACTGTGCATACAGCAGCAGAGGTGGCTGTCCATGCTTGTCTGCAGACTTTGTGAACTTTTGTTTGCCAGAGCCCTGAAATGGAATATTTATCACATGTCACTACTGCCTCTCAGACACAACACTCAGAAGCTTTTATCCAATTCTTAGTTTCCCCTTTGTTTGCATATCCTGCATGGAAGTAGAAGGTGATTATAAAGGCAAAAGTGTTTACATAATGTTTCTCTTCCAAGGCCCAAAGTGAATTCACTTGAAAGATTCCAGTTAACTTCAGCAGGATTTGGACCAGTGTCTCAAGGAAAAGATGCAAACTTTGGTTTGCAATCTCCTGTACCATCCAGTTGATTTAGTTTGGAAAGCTAACTTGTAATTTAGCACTTAAAACATTTTAACCACTGTTTCTGAGGAATTTTAAACCTAAGCAGTATAAAAAAATCATCACTCATGAGGAACACTTTCATAGAGTCAAGTTTTTAATTTGCATTTAAGTCATGATTTTACCAAACATTGTCTTTTTTTCTAGGTGGGACTTTAAATTCAGTAAACTGATAATTTATGTTTCCGTATCTAGTACAGGACTAGAAAGCCTCCACTGATGTTCATAAAGCCTAGCCTTATGTTAGCTTTGAAGACTGTGGCAGCTTTGTTTATACTATAGTTTGGGAGAGGATTGCCTGTCTTTTCAAAATATTTTCAGCCTTAAAATGTTAATTAATGGACTTAAAAATAGATTTGTGTCTTCCTATTTCACTACAATGACATTTTTTTTCTCGGTGAGACAACATGCAAAGTAAAAGTAACGACAAACCTACTTTTGGAAAAAAATTTCTGAGAAGAAAAGGTAGTACATTTTTGGGGATTAAAAAAAAAGACACTCATTTAAACTTATTATAGTATCATTGTTACAGACACAGTGAATGTTTTTTAACAAGAGCTTTCTCTTAAATGAAAATGAAACCCACAATGCAATAATGAACTGGAAGAGGATTACCTTCCAGAATATCCAACAGTTTTCAGCTGCACAGTACTAACTATTGTCAGTGTGCTGCTGACTTAAGGATTTGAACTAAATCCTTTCAGAAGATAACTGATTTTTCATTATATGTTGCAGAAAGTGCATCCTTGAGATGCACTTTCTTGAGATGCATCCTTACAGACTGTTTTCCATAACTGGAGAATCTGAACAAGATTTGTATTCTAAACCTTTCTTCTGAAGCCATTTCTCTTCTTTCACCTTATCTCTCTGAAGTGTGAGAATGCTTTTTTCAGTCTTTGCACATCTACCTTACCTGGGTGTTTTACATGAAAGTGATTTTCCCATGGGATAGCTGAGGCTAGAAGTGACTGCTGGTGGCCCCCAAGTCAAGCTTTGCTCAGTTCAGGGCTAACTCCAAAAGGAATTCAAGTTGCTCAGGGCCAGGTCCCGCTGTGTCTTGAGCTTCTCCAAACAATGCATCTCCAAAGATGAAGCTTTCTCTCTCTCAGCGCTGCACCACTCACACAGGGGATCATTTTCCCCCTTACATCCAGAATCTGCCTTGCTGCAAATCTCAGCTGCTGCTTTCTGACTTTTCTCTGAGCACTTCAGAGATCCTGGCTGAATCTAACTATAACCAGACTTCAGGGAGTGAAGGACAGCAACCATCGTTCTTTGCCTGCTGTATGTGCCAGCTCAGACAGGACATCACCACTTTGGTTGGTCAGTGATGCCAGTTGCCCAAACAGACACTCAGACACTCAAGACACTCAGTCTCAGACACTCAAGGAGACTGATGGTTCTGGTATGCACCAAAAGCTCCTACAGCTCAAAATCCTAGGAAGTACCTTCCTCTTCCTGACTCCAAGGGTATTTGCATGTCGAAATGTTAGTCTCTGCCACCCTTGCTGTCTCACCTGCAGATGTTTACCAAGTTTGGGCTATTGACTCCTACACCTTAGTCCCTTTCTAAGTGTCCCTCAGGTGTGTTCAAAGACATAGTAGAAAGAATGGACAATATGGCAAATTATTTACCAAATAACCTGAAGGTTTGAAGACTTT